GCAGCCAAGCATGCAACCCTGCCAGAGGATGATGCAAGCAATGCTGGAGCTGCGGGCTCCGCCGAGACTGGACTGCCGAGCGCTAAGCCCAAGAGACCATGCACCCTCTTTAGGGGGAAATTTGCCGGCACGGCATGCTGAAATATAGCAATATCAGTGTAACCCTCCATGTGGGAGCAGTGTTCCAGAATAAAAGGAAATAGAGCAGCCCACACAAGGACTTACTCTGGTAGAGTTATACTTGAGCAAGTATTTTGTTATTGTTGTATTGGGAAATTTCACAGTGTTGATGAGCCCTCAATCTAACCTTTGCAACTTTCTTGCTCCAAGATACAGCAGCATCTAAGAAATACACGATGACTGGGAATGTTCAATGTCCATGTTGGTCTACACAACTTTCAAATCTAAAGTTGTTCTCCCATGTTCTGTTATGGCTATAAAATACACTTTGGATTCCCATTTTTAAACATAACAAAGAAAAACCACTGTTTCAAAAGTTTTCTCACCAAGGGAAGCATTACTGTATGACATTCCTTCCTAGAAATCTTTTAAGTCCCATTTATTAACAGAATTAATCTGGTCATAATCTGGCTGACTCACAAAGTGTTGAAGTATGTCATCTTCAAATCATGTCTTGCTAATGAAATTTTGGTGTTAATTCAGGGGATGTAACAGAATCCTAGAATCTGTAATACGACATAAAACAAAGGGGATTCCTCTTGCAAAAAAAAAGCATTATTTTCTCCCTTTTCTGTTGTGTGTTTGTCACTGTGGGCTCTCCATCATCCACTTCTTTTCAGAATCTACTTTTTGATGTGGAGTCCCCACTCGATCATCAACTTCTACATTAAAACGCTCAGAAAAAGTTTTGCAGTTCTATAGCACTTTCAATCCAAGGAGCCCAAAGGATTTCATAAAAGATTAAGGCATGGAATTTCATAAATAGCCTTAAGATATCTCTACAATGCAATCAACTTTATGCTAGTGCTGAGTCCAGCCATGGGAATCCAGACTTAGTAACCCCTGCCCAAAAGCATCAGAAAAGCTAGGTAAATACTCTATTTGACTGTATGGAGCTCTGGGTTGTTGCGGCTAGATTGTTATCAGGATGCCACGCAGCTGGTTTAAATCTAGCTAGTTAAATTTAGCCTAGTTTACACCACACTTAAATCACTAACATAGCTTCTGCACAGACATTCTCAAGCCTTCAGCACCCAACACCCTTCCGAAAGATGCCTTCTGAAATGTCAGTCTAAAGCATCACAAATGGGTTAACAGGTACGGTGATTTAAGCAGCTGTGCCAAGTATCTGTAGGGTATTAATATAATTGTGCTCTCAACTTCTAATCCTAAGGTCTAAACCAAAGGGTCCTAATCTTTGAAGCCTAAGCACCTTACAGGAGAGGCACAGCACAGAGACCAGGTGAACGTTGCTGGATTTGCCCCATGCCAGCGTCTTTGTACTATGCTCCAAAAAGTGGAAGTTCTGGTAAGTTCGAAGCAAAGATATCTACAAGGCACTGAAGAGCGAACTGCGCTGATGGGATGGCTCCCAGTGCCAGCGTGGTCCTAACAGAGTCAAACTTCACAGCAGCAAAAAAGCAGTGACAGTAGTCAGGTAGTTGTTCAACACCTTGTCAGACCCCTTCTACTTAGATATTTGGTATTAGACACTGTACTACGATGGAATCAAAATAGTTACTTTGTAAGTCACAAGAAAGGAATTTGACAAGCAAAAACTGTATCTTGATTCTATGACTCTGACTGCACAACCCTCGATTTGGCCTTAGGCCAGACAATTCTCAGTGAAATGCAGAACGCCAAGTACTTTAGGCATTTGTCTCAAACTGACTCAAACTCAGGCCATCTGGAACCAAAAGGGGTTGCTTGGATTGTTTTTTCTGGTTGTCATAAAAAACAAAACATTCTTAATAGTTTCATTTATTTATTTTTCACTAATGCTTAAGATATGATTAAAAATCAAGATTACGGGGATAGATACAATTATGAAATAATAACAATTTAGAAGTTTTTAACTATAAAAGAGAGTCAGGAATTTGAGTTAATATCAAAATCATGTATTATGGCATCCACATCTGGATATCACTTTATTGACTAAACATGAAACTTCTCTGAGAGCCAGTTGGCTTCTGTAAAAATGTATTTCTGCCTTTGAAAGGAAATAGTAATTGGAAGGTCTCTTACAGGAAGTTACTCAATGCAATACAAAGGAAATAGCAATCTGTTCCTCAATGTTAATTTAAACCAATGTTATATTTAGCAATTTTTGACAACAGTCTTTTCGAAGGCTTATATTTCATTAAGCCTTCTCAAAAGCTTATATTAAGAATTGCTTTGTCTTTAGAATGTTTCTTTAATCACCTCTCCAGGTCTTCACCTTGCCCTGGGATAGACATCGTTACCCGTATCTCCAGGACATCTGGGATTCCATTTTCACCAAGAACAAATTTTTTGCCCCAGGCTAATAGAGAGCAAAGCATTTATGCACATGCTTGTCTACAAGTATGTGTGGTTCTTAAATACTAAGTGATCAATAATTAAAAACCTCTTTTTGCTTTTAGAAACACATGCAGCAGTTTTCCTTGCTAAAAATGTTCTGTTTAGAGATCTGTCTTTCAGTATATTTCCATTAATTCAGTGGTTTCAAAGGGAGATTTTCTAAAGCACAATATTAACGATACTAAACAAAGTTCAAGAACTCCAAGCATAATATCTCCTGGAACTTCTTTCCCAAGCTGACCGAGTCTTACAAAACACACTCGCAGCACAAGTTGCTAAAATCTTGCTGGGACACTGCTCAGAAACATTGTACAGAACTTCCCTTTCAATTTACATTTGTTTCATTATATTTTGAAGTTCAAAAACCTCAGAAAAACAGTGTTCAAAAACTGTTGTTACCAGCAACTGCATTACTTTCACTGAACGCAGTTTAGTTTAGTGAATCCATAAATTCAACAGTAGCACATGTATTAGGTCCCAAGAAAAACACTGGTAAACAGTCTGACAAAGGTTTTTCAAAGGTTTTTCAAATATGTAACTCAAGAAGATGTAATGCGTGATAACTGTTGAATATCAACTTATTTCTGACTACAGCAAAGACTATTCCACGGTCATAGGTTTCACTGGAGAGAGTCCAGCAGAGGGCTACGAAGATGATTAGGGACTGGAGCATCTCTCCTACGAAGAAAGGCTGAGACAGCTGGGCCTGTTTAGCCTGGAGAAGAGAAGACTGAGAGGAGATCTGATCAATGTGTACAAGTACCTGAAGGGAGGGTGTCAAGAGGAGGGGGCCAGACTCTTCTCAGTGGTGCCCAATGACAGGACAAGAGGCAACGGGCGCAAACTGAAACACAGGAAGGTCCGTCTGAATCTGAGGAAAAACTTCTTTCCTGTGAGGGTGACTGAGCACTGGAACAAGTTGCCCAGAGAGGCTGTGGAGTCTCCTTCCCTGGAGACATTCAAAACCTGCCTGGACAGGATCCTAGGCAATGTGCTTGAGATGACCCTGCTTGAGCAGGGGAGGTTGGACTACGTGATCTCCAGAGGTCCCTTCCAACCTTGGCCATTCTGTGATAGGTTTCTGTATACCTAAACAACCACTGGAAAGGTGGAGAACTATACCACTAGTACGCTTCCTTAAGTGGCCAAAAAATTCCCCTGTGCTCCTAAACAATGCAATTTAACCATGTTTTATCTGAAGATCCAGAGTTAATAAAAACTGCCTCTAGTGATTACATCTGGATAACGGATTATAACCAAGACTTATATGCTTATACCTTTGATAAAAAAGACTAAAGAATGATCGGAAAGAAAATTCTGCTCCTCAGTAAACACACACAAGTAAAGGTAGATGTTTTCCTTTAGCAAAAATAGCATTAAATGATTTAGGAAAAAAGGGAAAAGAACACTTTGCAGATAAGATAGTAATGTCAACCTAATTTCATTATGCAAATTATTCAAATATAAAGGACAATATTAACTGTACTGTAACTGAACATTAGCTAGTTCCAATACGTAAAAAAATCTCATAGTTTCTTTACAGCACAAAAAGGTATAAACTTGGAAGGAATTCCTTTTTTTCATACATTTCTAGATTTAACAACGCAATTCTTTGTTTTGCACTAGCAAACGTCTTTACTAAGAAAAAAGGAATTTCCTTCTTCTATACAACTTTTAATGAAGTGTTTTGGTCGTCAACCCTAACAGAGTACATGTTTTCAAAAGTCTTCTGTTGCTCTTTACTTCTCTTCTTTACTTCTCCGAAAAACATTTAGAAAACAAAAATTTTGCTTCCTTCTGCAAGCAGGATTCTCCGTAGCCTCTTTGAATCAAGGTGCCAAAGCAGCATGGAGCTCTTAAGTCTCCATGCATTCAAAACCAGCAGCTTCTTAAAGCTCTTAAAGGCCAGAGAATGCAGCTACGATAATAAAATACATAAAGGCATAAACAAAAAAAGTTACAGGGAATAAATACTGTATTCCATGCATATTTAGCAGAGACGTTGTGTACAGTCTCCAGTGGAACTTAAGAACCTACTTTGCTTCATTGTGGCCTTAAACATGAAAGTTGAGATCTCCTCGTGAAAACCGGACCAAAGTCAGTGGGATACTGCTGACTGGCAGTGCAACTCTAATATCCTATTTTTCACCTTTTCATCTAAGTATTTGAAGGCACTATATAAAGTGGCTGAAAATATGTTTAAAAAGCTGAGTTAACATTAAAAGACAGAGGAAGTTTCACAGATTTGACCGAAGTGAATGGATTAAGATTTGCCAAAAACCTAACTTTTTTATGCTGGCATGCAACCAGCTAGAGGAAAGACAGATTGAGTCATCAGAGACATCAAAGCCGAGGTCCAGCGACTGGAATTACTGAGGGCTGTGCGAACACGAATGATACCTGCATTCATCTGCCCGTTGCAGAACTTTTAATTACACTAAAACAGGTAGTAGCATCAGTGACTAAAATCCCCTGATTACCTTGATGGCTCTGTCATTATCTCTAATCAGCTGCTGCTTCTTATCTTCAAACTTTTGTACAACTTCCTGGAGCCGCTGCTCTGCAGCAAGCTGCTGCCGGCTGTTCTCCTCTGTCAGAGAGGAAATGGTTGTCTTAAGGTCAGCTGTGATCTAAAAAGAAAACAGCACGCTAAATCTCTCTTCAGTAAGTGGCATGTATTTTGCATGTTTTTACGCTTGGTACCAGGATGGAGTTGGCAAACTCTGCTGTGCAAACTAAATATTTTAAATTAACATATTACACACTAGCAAGCATGACATTCCACACAGAGCAAAGGGATATAGGAAGGCTGCGAATGGCAAAAACTGCTGAACACAAAATATTTGGAAGAGGTTTCCACTATAACATTCCAAAACATTTACTCATGAGAACAAAGCACATCTGTGATCTTCAAAATACAGGACGCTTCCAGTTTTCCACTGCAGTGAAATGACTATTGCAAATTTACATAGCAATTGTGGTATTCATTTTCTTAGCACAACACAGTATAGTTTGATACTGCAGAGAAGAGAAAGCTCACATTTACATACTTAGCTGAAATGTTAGCCTTGATAGCAAGATTTCTGAGCCATTGGAAGGAATGTATTCTGCTTAGCAATACAGCGGGGACCTGATTCAAGGGCTAGTGCCCTTAAACTAGACCTTTTACATGAGTTGCTCATGAGTTGCAACATGAGAGTTGAACTCTACTCATTTCACCTTTTTTATCTCTGAAGAAAGTCATAACTAAACCAGGTCCTTCAGGCATATTTATAGAATTTTATGCTGACATGTAAGCCATCACCTAGCAAAGCACTTAAACATGTGCTTAACGTTAGGTAGGAGGAGATACATACTGACTTTAAGGTTAAGTTGCTGTGGTAGGATAATATAGTCTAATGCTGAACACACTTAGGCATACAGGCAGTCTAGGGAGGGACTCCCAGGGCCCTCAGACCTGTATATTTGCAAGACCTCCTCACTGTTATAGAAACATTTAACTATACGGAGGTCACAGTTATTTAGGGGGAAAAAAAAAAACATTTTTAGGTAGGACTAACATTATATGAACTATTTGAAAAGCGAAGGTATTAGAATCACTGGGGAAGGGAAGAGGACTGACTAAAACTCTTTAGTGTAAATTGATTTCCCTATATTTCACTAGTCCTGAAAACCAGAAAGTAACATAGATTAGGAGTAAAGCCTGCAGGAAAACTTCCGTATTTCTTTAGTAAAAACAAATACATATTAAAAAAGATAATATAGCAACTGAAAGGAACGCTATCTGTTCCTAATGAGATCAATGAGCCAAAATTTAGAGATTATCTGAATAGGTGTAACTGTAGGGGAAATTCAGCTGTATCAATCTGCTTTGAAATTTAGATCATTTACATGACACAATCTGCACAAATGAGGCTTTGCTGAGTGTGTAAAATGATGGTAACACATACAGTGCGAAAGTGTGAGAAAGTGATGGATCACATAAATTATACTCATTAAGATAAGAATGCAATTTGAACCTGTGCAAGCTTATACCACTTCATGTATATTCCATTTTGTCAGGTTTTTTTTTTTTAAAGATAACAAAAATAAACCCATTAATATCACACACAGCTTTTACTGAATTAAGACCCCAGACTAGCACAGAAGTTCTGAAATGCCTTTAAGGAGATTTTAACATGCATCGATGGAGAAAGATCTGCTTGGTGCAGTACTTCTCAGAGAAAGAAACTGTTTACTTTGTATAAACTTCAGAGAAAATTTCTTGAAATATCTTCTCTGTGTGGGTGTTAAAAGTGAATGTTCCAAGAGGCCACAGAGTAAGATTAGACTGATGTTGTCAGCAACATGACCACAAAAAAGCTGCAAGTGACCTATTATTAATACTACGCTACAAAAAAATTATGTTCAAGTAACATTAGGGATTTGATTCAAACCCACAAAAGTAAAGAAATTCAGACTTCAGGGTGAAACTCCTTCATTGCGCCAAATAGCCATGACATACGATGCGAGCGTTGCGCCTGCCACCGAAAGCACAGATGAACGCCAGCTTGGGCCATTTGGTCCATCTCTCCTCAATAAAGAGGACAGTAAATTAGCTAGGGCAGTGGCTAGTTTAAAAAACATACACCTCTCAAAAATTTTCCATTTTCCACGGCCAATAATTTTCAGTCTGACAAAGTTTATTATGATACTCAGGTTACATGTTTATTACCTTGTATTGCATTACCTAGGTGTTCCCACTGCAACAGTTAAAGCAACTTGCCTGACTCCTTTGTTTACAAATTCAGAATTGCTTTGTTCCATCTGTCTTTAACAAATGGACCAAGACCCATTTTTGTTCTGACAGTAAACTACGTCTGGCATAGAGACGGACTTTTGATGAGCATCACTAGGCACGACAGCAGTATAAAATGACAGTGACAAAAAATAAAGTAGTTAGCAATGAAAATGCTTTCAGCCTCAAGGTCTGACATGCATTAAACATTACTTTTGGGATTTTACTAATTTTCTCCTATTCGGGTTCAGATGGCAAGGTAAAGAACAGGCTTATTTTTTATAATTTTTTAATTAAAAGAGAGGTTTAACAAAGGCTCTCAACAACCGACTGAGAAGGCACTGAGGAGAGCATTATCTTTCATGCACCACAGACTCAGGGAACCACTGAGATTGGAAGGGACCAGTTCGAAGCAGGGTCAGCTCGAGCAGATTGCTCAGGGCCGTGTCCAGTTGGGTTTGAATATCTCCAAGGATGAAGATTCCACAGCCTCGCTGTATGTAAGCAACTGCACCGAAAAAACATGTTAATTACTAGAAATATAATGCTAAAACTTATTTACCAATGGTTCTGATAAATGCAGTCTCAAAAAACGTACCATGAAAAATTTGATAGCCAATGAAGTTTCACTGGAATAAGTAAAGCCATAATTTTGGATAATTTTTACAGAGAATGAGATTCAAAGATATTTTTCCAAAGTTGAAATCAAGAGTTTTAAAATATTTTAAGTGTTTGCAAAACGGTAAATTTGGCAATTGCATTTCATTGTATCACTGATCACTGATCTACCTACTCTGGAGGCCTCTAAAATGTTCTTTATATAAAGTTTTAATTGATTTTAAGAGTGTCAAACTACTAATACTCCTGCTGAAAACACATGTTGCAAGTAAATGGGAGGTATTATGCTATGGTTATGAGGAATGAGAAGAATGACACCTCCACATAAAACCTTGTGGCAATTTTCTTATTATTAAAAGCTTAACTTCTGATTGCACCCCCATCATTTTTCACATTTCAGTACTACATGCCAATCAAAATGAAAGCTGAGCCAAACAAAAAGAAAACTGAAAAACTTAAAAAAAAAAAAAAAAAAAAAAAAACCTATCTTATCACTTTTAACTATAAACGTAAATTCAACCCACCTTTTCATCATCCATGTTCAAAAGACTACCCTACAGAGTGAAATCTCAAGTCATAAAACCCTGTCAGGCCACTGACATGCTTAAAAACGGTGTTGGGGGCTACGTAAAAGCTGTGTGACCATTCAGCAGAAACGCTGAATCGGCCAGGATCAGGGATAACCGTCGAAGCGGCGCAGGTGGGACCGCAGCCCGGCCACCAGCCGCGCGGCAAACCCCACCTCGCACTGCGCAACGCCTCCGGACTGGACAGGATGTACTGTTTCACACGGCCTGCATGCGGGGTCAGTTTTGCTCCTTTTCCCACTGACTGACACAGGTCTCAATCCTCTTCGGTTCTCAGCAGATGAAAAAGTGAACCATTTTTTCTAGTCATTTTAATTTTCTGTATTTTTTTAATGGTTAAAATCTGTAAGAAACATTGTATATTCGATCTGAGAAACGGTCACGGCTTCTCTTGCCCACCAAAAACTACGCTTAAGAGCAGAAGCAATTACGCTTGTCATTAAGTTTCCAAACCAAACGAGCCGGCGTGCGGTTGCTGCCTGGTTGCCTACCTGCGAGGATTTGGCCAGCTTCTGACTGTACTCCTTCTCAATCTGCTTCAGCCGGCCGCTTGCCTGAAAGACACGCACACACAAAAGGAAACCCGATTAGCGCAGATGAAGAACGTGTACAGACACTTTGCCACCGAGCCCTCTGCTTGGCACCTCATCTACATGCCTATCGCCGAGCAGCTGGGCTCCCCGCCAGTCCCAACGCCCTTCTGCGGCGGCCAAAAAACCACAAGGGCTTGCCTTTGATCTGGGGCCAACTATTCATCACTTAAAAGAGGGGAGAAATTGTACCTCTGCTGCCAATTATTAGAAAAACATAAAGACTTCTGTGGATTAAAAAAAAAAAAAAGAAAAGAGAGACAGAGCGAGAGAGAGTGCGTGTGAGTGCGAGAGTCGGGGGGAAAACACATACACAAGTTTATCAGGGTGACTTCATTTCTAAATGAAGGAAAAAGGAATGAAAAAAAGTCCCAGGGGCCAGTCCAGGCTGGAAGGGTGCAACGCGACACGAATGACAGCATTTCACGTGTCGGCTGGCTGGCTGCAACCTCCTTTTGTCCAGTTCCACGTTCCTCCTTTTTGCAAGATTGCTGCTATTAAAGCAAAAATCAAACCCAACATGCTGCTGGACCAACTGCGTTCGCCTTGACTTACAGCTCTTTCCTTCTAATGTTTTTCATAACTCAAAGATAAGGAAAAAAATAAATGGAAAACAAGGCTGCTTTGTCATAGTGACATCTAATAAGCAAATGCATCTGTAGTTCTGGAAAAAAAATAGCTCTTAAGGTTTTTTTCCCCCCTCAAATACTATTTTTAATTTAAATTCAGGACACAATTCTGATTTGTATTTTTCTCCTCAAGTGCTGGTGAATCATACTGACAGACCTGCCTCAAAATGCTGTCCTCAGATGAACTGCTAAGCAGTCTCATGCACTTGGGTCTAAAATTTGAGGACAGGTGCCTAAGAAAAATATTTGTCTCAGGGGACAGAATATTATGACGCTGAGTCCTGAAGCAAATTTAAGCTGATTAGGTTTTCAAAATCTATCTGATCCCATGCTAAAATCTTTGATCTGTCCTCCTCAGTTGTATGGAATAGCACCCAGCACACAAACACACATGCCTTCGAATGAGTTTAAAGTTGCAGACAGTGTTTGCAAAGCACCATTAGAAAGCATGATGGAACTAGGATCACCGCACACAATCCCTGCAGTTATATATGGTGCAGCTTAATATGTTATAGCCGGTTAAAAATAATCTTGAAGTTTACACGATACTGCAGTTTAAGAACTGGAATCCCTTCAAATTCCAAGATTAGGAAACATATGAAGGTGCCTGTATTTCATGTGTGTGTTCGTATCAAGAATTTTAAAAAAGTTAATGAAAACCAATTATTGAATATGTGCATAGTTTTCAAGTACATGTGTTTTTTTTACTGTAAGTAGAGATAATGGCACTAAATATTGCTTTAAAACAGCGTATACTAGAATTCTGGAGCACTAGATGAATTAAATTCCACTTTTCCTACATCTATCACTGAAAGTGAGCCACAGACTCTACAAGGGCATACTGACTGACTGCATAAATAAAAAAGGAGCAGCAACACAGAAGTATTTATGTCAGACAGCTCTGTGCGTGCTACATAGCTTTTTATACTCAGGCTGTCCCATATTAACACTATTCCCACTGTATTGTCATCTAGTTTCAGACTACTTTTTACCAGCACTGCTTATCATAATGTAACTGAAACTGCCAGTTCATCGTTAGGAAAAAGTAAAAAAATAAATTACAGTAATAGATTAAACTACTGTTACTCCAGAAAAGGAGAGAGACTACTTAGCAAGGCACTGTAAAGAAGATCACATTACAAGTGCTTTCACTCAACTTGCCTGGGGTAAAAGTCATCATCTTTCATAGACGCAGCTTTATAACCTCTTGAACCCAAACAAGAAATCCCAATAAATAATAAAAACACACTCATAACTTTCATAAACAAATTAGAACTTGCTAATTCGCACTGAGGAGAACTAGGGCAACCTCTGCTAGACACGACAGAAGCGATCCAAAAGAACGATATGCTGAATTTCAACGTTTTATTCCTAACTGAAGGTAAGCTTAAAGTATATTCTATGAGTCTATTTAAAGGCAATGACAGCATTTTATTTTATAATGCCTTTAACAAATCACATTTAGCAAAATATTTATAAGTTGTTTCCAAGCCAAACTCCAAACTATTGCATTTACATGCAGTCCCAAACATCCCTATTGGAAGGATCTGATTTGTAGACGTACCGAGGTTCCAAAGCATCTCCTGGAGATAGCAAATACCTATTTAAACTGGCCATCTAGAAGTGGGTATCTAAACCTGTGGCGCTAAAAACTGTGGACATCTCCTGACTTGGCCTTTTCTCTTTAGACCAACAACACTGTGCAGGTCTTGCATCAGCATGAAGTGCATAGAGCGCACTCGTGACGCTTGGCTGAAGGCAACTTCTACAAGTTATATTATGGTGGTCAGCCAGAACGTTCTCATTCACGCTAAAGCACAGGACCTCTTTTCCATTATCTTCTTTTACCGCAGAAATACAAAACTTTTCTCTTCTCAAAACCTGCAATTCAACTAATGTAACACCTCTTCACTGTAGGCTGTTGCTTTGCAGCTTAGGGAGGCATAAATCTACTCCCCTGGGGCACACAGAGCATTGCTACACAAAAAAAGCCTTTTTCTTTAGTTCTTTTTGTAAGGAAAGACTTACTGCAAAGCAAATACGCATAGCAGCATACAGTGAACATAGCTGAGGATTTATACTACATCCATCTTGACAAATGAGAAGGTTAAAACCAGACTGGTGTACACAAGCATCACTTTCCTGGCTTCTTTCACAACCAGGTGAAACTTTAATGACAGGCAGCTCATATCATACATTGTATGAAGCACAAGTTTCTTCTGTATTACTTTGAAGGCATTCCCTCACTTTCAGGCTACATGCTATTTCCGAAACAATAATGAATGAGAATCCAACTGGAAGGTGAACATTTTGGAGGGTCAGACAGTACTCATTAAAGTCTAACTCTTTTTATAGCAAAGGGCAGCACTGCAAATGCAGTTAATGGTCTTAAACTAGTTTTCCGTGTGCTGTAGGTAGCTGTGGAAACTCACACTTGGCAAAAACTTGTCAGAAGTATCAGTTGCAATATCCATTTTTATAATAAAAAAGGTTTAAATTGGATAAGCCACAGAGGAATCCCACTGAATCAAAAAATTAACTTCTGTTTAGTTTCACACAGTTAATACATATTTTAGCTAAAATTATCTGATTATGACAATTTTACATACAGTTATTTTATTAGAGTGACAACTTCTGCATTAAAAAGGAGATTATGTCCTTGTTACAGTTAATTGGTTTTAAAAAGCAGCGACGATTCTATAACACGCCTGAAAGCATCACGTTGTGGTTGCTGAGCAAAACTACACTGACTTCAATAAAACATTTCGTGTAAAAATTAAAACGGTATTAGCACTAAAGATGTGATATCTGGACTAGTGGATGCTGCTCTAACACAATCTGATTTTCATTTTTCCCTTTAATGAAACCGAACACTATTACTAAGAATAAAGTAGCAAAAAGGATCTATCACAATGGGACCACACTTCAAAAAAACATACCACGTTATGCCCGAATTACAAAGTTTCATGTCCTATTTTTAAGGTATACGACATAAGGTACAATTAGAAGATGACATACACACACACACACATATATATACATATATTTTTTTTGTAATGGAGAGTATGCCACAATGACATCTTTCCAATTGCGTAGGACTTAATTCGGCAAAAAAATCCACAGTCAGGCCCACACTGATGTCTTTCATTGACATCAGTGAAGGACATGCAGCATACCTGCTCTTTTTTGAGCATCTTGAACGTTTATCAAAATGCAGCTGCTAATCTTAGCGTATGAATCAGTGCAAATCTCTCAGCTTTGGAACGGTAATTCTCAATATGATTTTAATTATGCTACAAAATTAATATGAAAACTAACTCTGCAACCCAAATACAGATAGATCTATGATATTTAAGGAGGCATGCTGAAATCCTGTTCTTCCATATGTGAATCAGTTTGGTGATTGATTTCAGTGGCATTTTAACTTGATTGCAATCTCACCAATACAGATGACTCACAAGCATTACTCTCATATACACCCATACTCACTAACAGAGAAGCTCATTTAAGAAATCTGTTTAGGGTACTAGCCATGAAATAATCATTTTTCAAAATGCCTACGACTAGCTACATCATGGCCATACATAAGCTGATTCTCCATAATTAGTTAGATAAAAGTCTAAGCAAACTTAAAAAAAAAAAAAAAGAAAAAAGTAAAAAAAAAAAAATCAAAGGGTGGGGGAAGGAGAAGAAAGAAAACTTGCTCCAGGGAAGAAGCAACTGTTCTCTGATGTGCAGCAAAGAATTTAACATCAAAGAACTAATGTAAATGGGGCCCATTTACCTTAAAAAACAACACACCACTCCACATTCTGGTATATTTCTATTTAAGTTTGACAGCATTATGCTTTGTACCAAAATTCAAGATTGTGTAATTTGACAGATGTCAAAAGAAAATGACCTTAAGAATGGCTAACTGTAGCAATTTTTGTTATTATGTTAAAACACTCTGTACAGTATCTGTTTAAACTTAGAGATTAACAGATCACCTTTTAAGTTCATCTGATTGTACAAAAATTTCATTTCAACCTCAAAGCCTGAAACGTATGTTTTCCTTACATGCCTCTAATAATGATAGTAGAGGAGTTTCTACTACCAACACCCTCTTTCTTTCTACTGCTCTCTCCACCAATCAGATAACATATGGAAAGCTGAATTTCTGTGTAAAAGTGAAAATAGCACACCAAATCAAATATGTAATTTGAGCCACCAAAAGACTATTAAAAATTGTTCAATACCCAAAATGATGTTAACAGAATAATTAGTCAAGTACCAAATGACTTCAAGGGCTTTGAAAATGAATGACAGAAATCCCAGTCTGTCATACCCACAAAT